ACATTTAACATAACAGACTAACTTTGGGTATAGGCTTCATTTTTCTTTTTCTTTCAGCTAACACTTTCTCAATTTCTTCCACAACTATACCACAAGAATCTTGTACTATCGGTATAATTTCGGCATCATATGGTTTAAACTGCAAACATATTATGATCACTATAAGATTTCATAGTAAAATTAAAATGAGTTTCGTTACTTTACAACTTAATTTCAATGTTGAATACTAAAATTTAGGACAGTTTATCATTTTTTTTTTAGTGTTAGTTAGGTATTAAAAACACAGACTACAGTATAAGCGTAGCATTTAAAATAATAACTTTTCAGTTGTAAGATAACGAAAGCTTTACCAAGTCAACGGCTCCTGTGTAAACAGGATCAGGCATAATCACTGGGTCGTTGCAACGCATGCACATGTCTACGGCCTTGGATAATCCTTCTTGTGCTCCAGATGTCATAACGATACTTCTTTTATCCCAATATTGAGGTCCATGAAACCTTTCTTGTATTTCTTCCAATATCTTTATCAAAGGTCGATACCTAATGGAATATTTACATAATAATAATATATTATGATACGATTTTAGTMCATGATAAATTTTAAACGAATAATGATACATGCACATTCCGCAYAGGGAAAAAAATTGAAAACCCTAATTAATTCTTATAGGTAGGTCCATTAAAAATCATACATTTTAATTGTTATTAATTAAGTTTTCTCTAAAAATGTATAATGCTGGTATGTCAACGAATTTAAGCCATTTAGTTTAGTTATTTTAACCATCCATTATGTCTCTTATTAAATATTCTTAGCCTATTGTTTCAGGTTTGAAATTATAATTTTTTTTTTTTTGTAAGAAAACCCCATTCCACGCAGAACTTGAAAGGCAACAAATTTGTCTTGTATACAATTTGTTTGTTATGATTTGTAATCTTTATTTACCAGTAATCGCACGCAATTCTTTACGATGATTTCATTAATTAATCTAAATATTTATGTTAATATAGAATTACCTAATATAATTTTAGGTACAACAAATTTTTATAAGCTAAGGTTATTAGTGTATAAATGTACCTAATAAATAATATAAGGGTATTAGGTATTCATATTCAAACATTAATTAGAATTTTATTTTCGTCGTCYATCAATTAACACAATTGCTTAAGTAAATAATATTAAAGACTATAATAAACTTAAAAACTTTAATATGTAAATACTAGTCTATTATGTGAATAATTAGTTATTGCAGTTTTCTAATGAACAAAAAAATATGTGTAAATCAACTTACCCAATCGAAGGCAGATATTGCAAAGCATCAGATAGTTCTTGACCTTGAAGTTTAATTTTCTCGCCGGTAATTATTTCCACACTCATCTTCTTGAATGGAAAGGTTAGTACGTTTGGTACTCCTACTCCTAATTTTATGCAGTTTGGTGGTAGTTTCTCTAATATCCTTGCTGATARAACAATCAATAAATGTATTATATTTAAATGGTATTTTATTGTTGCACGCAATATATTAATCAGGGGCATATTTATAGGGTTTCGTCTAATTATGGGGGGGGAGTGGAGGGATATGTATCTAAAGTCCAATGACTTTTATGAGTTCCTATTTGAAGGTCTATTACTATAGATGAGTGTATATTCTGAATTGTTAAAATGCCCACCTATGAACAAATTTTTAGAGAATAGGCCAAAAGACAATCTATACCCTCTCGTAAATACGCCACTTACATAATCACAATATTATAGTTACTGATTTCTCGAAGTTGAGACGGCTGTCGTTTAGACGAAATGTCATTTATGAAATATGAATAATCAATTGTGAACGGGGTAGCACTGTTTTGATTGTATGTTGGTTGTGGGGCTTCAGAACCATACTCAGGAATTCGACAATCTACCGGACAACGGGTGACGGACGCTGCTTCATTAGCGGATGAATATAGTTGATACTGTGCCATATTCTGTAG